AGGCGTTGCTCCTGCCGGCATGCCAGGGCCCTCCGTCGGCGTTCACAGCACGATGTGGCCAGGTACGGCAGGGGGCGGGGGCGCGGCGGTGGGTATGGCGCAGGGTGGGGTTGGGATGAGCGCAGCTGGAGGGGCCTCGCACGGACAGAGCTTTGCGGCGCTGAGGGAGGGAAAGGCAGGGATCTCAGAGGCGCAAGAGGTCCGCAGGGGTGCGAGCAGCTCTCTCCCGGGTGTCAGCGGGGCGGATCCCGCAACATCGGCGCCGTCGACCAGGCCACTTAACTGTCAATGCGGTCAAGCGGCTCGACGAGTAGCACCCGTCAAAGCGGTAAGTAGATTTTTGTTTTTCAAACGTACCCAGCTTGTAAGGTTGTCTCCTTTCGTTGATCCTAGCCTTGAGTTTGCTGACAGCGTGTGATCGTGGTGTGATTTCGCTTAACACCTTCGCACATGCCCATCCTAACCCACACATGCCCATCTTCCACCTGCCCCGGATCGCGCGACACAGGACGGTGCCGCGAACGGGACTACATCCTGGATGTGTGCCAAGGCGGACAGGAACCAACAGTGCAACTTCTTCGAGCTCATCAGCCGACCGGGAGAGGGAAGCACTTCCACCGGCCGCAATAACAGCGGCATGGGGGGCGGCGGCACACGTTCACGGGGAGGCACAGGCGGGAGGTCGGGTGGGTATGCTGCTCCCACTCGGTCATCCCGCCGCCGCGCGGCCAACGTGTCTCAGGTTTTTCCTGGGCGCTCAAGGGGGAATGGTGAGAAGTGATGTTAACCCCGGGCCGTACCAATTTCAAAGATGTCGACCTTCCACTCTCTTTGGTAATACCGGGCGGTGATGCGGGACGACAACCTCCGGGCGGTTATGTTTTTGCTTTTGGTCCGCCTCGTCCTTTTTTTTCTGTTCATTGGAGGTCAGGCGTGTGACCTCTCTCTCCGTCGGCGTGTGGGTGTTGATGGCGTCGACTGGTTGAAGATGTGGGTCCTGACACGTTTAACCCGTGGCGTTCAACGAATGGAGAGTCCAAGAAGGTAGCCGCGTGTCTTGGGTTCTCATACCCTCATAACGAGTTGTTTTCGTATTGTTTGCTGTTCACGTACTTGGTGAACGGTTGTCCACCTGTTCCGTGGGCGGCTTGCATATTTCGAGCGAACCCATCGCACGGGTTACGGTGTGTGGGGGTTTGCTGCCTGTTTCTTTGTTGTTATTGTTTTTTTTCGTGTGAGTTTTTTTTGGGGAGGGGGTGGATTCTTTATTAGGCTTGCATATTTCTGGCGAACCCATCGCAGGGGTTGCGTTGTGTATGCGTTTGCTGCCTTTTTTCTTGTCTTACATGTTTTTTTTTTTTGTTTTTTTGTCGTGTGTGTGTGTCTTTGGGGGTGGGGGGAATTGGTTATATTTCCTTCGGGGGCTTGCCTGTTTGGAGCGAACTCATCGCCGGGGTGGCGTTGTGTGTGGGTTTGCTGCAATTTTCTTGTCTTGAAAGCGTGTGGGGATGTTTGTGGCAGCGGGGAGTTATTGATATTTCCACTGCCAAAGTCTTGGCCGACTTCGGCGGTGGCCACGCTGAGAATGAACGGGCGTAGCCGCTTGTTACACCCTCTTTATGTGTTGTGTTGTTCTTGTTCACGACTTCTCCACACAAGAGTACTTTGTGACTGTCCAATCGTGTTTATGTGTGGTGGGTGAGGGGGGGCAGGTGTACGACGTGCGTGAAACAGTGTGTAGTGAACCTCTTTCGTTTCGCTTGATTTGACGTTCTCCTGTGCTGTTTTTGGGATATTTTGCATAACTCTTCGTACCTGGTCCAAGCATTTCGTGTAGGTGCGCAGCCTGGGCTTCTATCGTGGGAATCGTACGTACGAGGTGTCGTGTGATTGGTGTAACCCCACCCCGTTGCGAGTCCTTTGGTGGTTAGATTTACTTTACGCTTTGGTGGCTTCAGTCCCACGTTTGCTGCCCCTTTGTCGATTCAAAGCGGTTCCAACCGTGACCTCTAACCACGAAAGTATAACGTATTCCTCGCGACCAAAGCGATGAGGTTTACCTCATCTCAAGCACAGCCAAGAGATATAGTGCGATGTAGAGGAAAGCAGGTGTTTGATGAGGGGAAACTATCGAATGCAGACTGAAGTAATTACAGAACAAAAGGGAAGGAAAAATCACCAGTACATTTGTGTCATACAGTTAGTGACACGAAGGCGGCACGTCGTACATCCCATGAACCCCGCATCATATGCGAGGGCTGAAGCAGACCTAGCACCCACGAAGTTCGTAGTCATATGCAACGACGGCCGAAGAGTAAGCACGCGACGACACACAGAAGATTTAAGTACGAAGCATGCTGCCTCTTTTCATGCCGCACACCCAACCCATCTCCCTCCCTTGCGTTGATCTCCTACTCCTGGCGCCGACAGTTCCTCGGAGCACCTCATGTGCGTCGTTATCTAACCTCAACACGGCACTCCTGCTTCATGCCAAGTTGCGCGAGCGTGTGACTACCCCGTCCCAACGTCGATTCCTATTTCGAGTACGTCCTACGTAGCCCTCTCTCTATTCCTCGAGGGACGGGGGTTGGGGGTCAAAGTACTGTGCCGTCGAGTTTGGGTAGAAGCAGCAACGGCAATTGGTGAGAATGCCGGCGACAGAATANGAAGATTTAAGTACGAAGCATGCTGCCTCTTTTCATGCCGCACACCCAACCCATCTCCCTCCCTTGCGTTGATCTCCTACTCCTGGCGCCGACAGTTCCTCGGAGCACCTCATGTGCGTCGTTATCTAACCTCAACACGGCACTCCTGCTTCATGCCAAGTTGCGCGAGCGTGTGACTACCCCGTCCCAACGTCGATTCCTATTTCGAGTACGTCCTACGTAGCCCTCTCTCTATTCCTCGAGGGACGGGGGTTGGGGGTCAAAGTACTGTGCCGTCGAGTTTGGGTAGAAGCAGCAACGGCAATTGGTGAGAATGCCGGCGACAGAATACTGCTTGCCGAGGTCACACGCGCTTAGACCGACCTGCTGCTTCTTGTGGTAGTCTACGTAGGGCCACTGGGCGACGACTCGACCGAACCCCCATTCCACCGTAACCCTAACACTGCTCATGGCGGAATTGAAGCCAGCTTCCTCAGGGGTTAACAAACCCCGATATGGCGACATCAACCACGGCGAGTTCTGGTACGCCGGATCACCGTGCAGGTAGGACGGCTCTCCCTGCGCATCATTGAACGATTGCATCAACACAGCAAGCAGGTCGCTCTCCCCGAGTAGCGCTACATCGTGGCGGCGACCGAGGGCAGGACCCCAAAGCTGGCGAAGGAAACCGTCCGGAGCATCTACTGCCTGATACTTGAGGGCATGGGGACGTTTCCATCCATTATTATAGTACAGACGTTGCCAACGACCAGAACTGCAGATTTTTCGGATTGTGCCACTGAGGAAGCCCCAACAACGTAGAAGGGGCGAGCCGCGGCTAGATATTGCTTCACAGAAGTCGTCTATCTTGGGAAGAATAGCATCGACCTGCGAATCCCGCACAAGGTGTCCCCATCGATCGTATATTGCCTCAATGGTGACATTGAACACCTCGCATACGAGTGTCTCCCCCATGCCCCAGAACAGGCGATCGCGTAGCAACGTCGTCGGCGCAGAAAATCTCCACAGAGTGACTGCCAAACACAGACGTGCCGGAACTCTTAGCACTCCTCTCCCCCCCCTGCCCAGTGACAAATACGAGGCGAGATCAAAAACACAACACGGGAACAGGGAGTCGGGGTTATGGAGTGGTTGGTTGGGGGACACCTCGGCGGAGAGGAGCAACATAAGCAGGGTAACCCTACGGCGTATCACAGGAACATTACAGCACACAATGGTGTTTCAATGTTGTTTCCTCCAAGAGCGGATCGTGGGACAGTCACAAGCGTGAGTCACCCCGGGAGTTTCATCGCTTTTGAACCTCCGTCTCCTACCCCTAAACATGAACCTCTTTTTGGTGGCCGCAACAGCAGTAGTAGTCGCCTAAACCGACAGAGAGAGGCGGACATCTTCAAAATTCAATTTTTTCCGGAGTGATAGGACTACGTCCAGAAGCGAGTCGCTGCGAATCGACACCAAACGCATTGCCCTAACCCTTTCCCTGCATATGCAACAACCCGCCTTAGCAGCATCCACGAGCCTCAATATTCCCTAGGGGTCCACTGCAGCACGGTCGTTCGCTTCTGTGCGGCACTAGACTATCCCTTTATTTGTATTTTTAAACCTTGAATTTCTTTATAAGGTTCTAAAGCTTTTAAAGTTTGTTTAATATATCCTAAAAATTGATAATGTCTTTTTCGTCTTTGTCTGGAACATATATTTTGTTTTAAAAATCTTAAAAAGCTTGTAGGGTTTGCTTTATTTTTCATTAATAAATATATAAGTTGCATACCATATCTAGCATAATCATATTTTGTACGATTAAAACCTTTGCTAAAGTACGCTAGTTGTCTTCGTGCAGGTTTAGGTACTGATCTTGTATAAGCTTTTAATCTATTAATTTTTAAAGTTATTTTTTTTGTTCCTATAAAATGTTGAATTAATTNTTTTTTTTTCAATTCTTGTTTTTAATTTTTTTAGGTCTTCTTTTTTTTGCTGATTTTCCACGGCTCGTTAAAACAATTAAACAAAAAATTAGGTCTTATAAAATAAAAAGGGATAAATAAGAGTTATTTAACGGTTTGTAGTTTAATTGGTAAAACATAGTTCTCATGAAGCTACCAATGAAGAATATATTAAAGAAAATTTTCAACCTATTGTTAAGAATGAAATGGCAAATATTAAGTTAGAACAAATAAAGGATATAAGTAAATCTGATACTTCAAATAAAGATAAAGAAATTCCTAAAACATTTATTGATTATCTTCATGAAAAAATAGATTCTTGGTTTAATTTATTAATTATTAAAATTCTTGAAACTTTTAAGCAATATTTAAAAATAACCGATAATATTAAAGTGGGCGAAACAAATAAAGAGTTAATTAAATCCTTAAATGATTGCTTGGACGATCAAGACCAGAGGCATGAGATTTCATGCCGCAGCGTGCCATCTCACTTCGATATAGAAATTTGTTGTGTCGAGGTGCCCTGTACCCAAGGGTCGTCTGCAGGCGGTTAAGCTTTTTTTGTGCAGTTCCAGACAGAAGTCTGTGTGATGGTGCAGACCGAAGTCTGTGTAGACCGAAGTCTGTTGAGACAGTGACCCAACCAAGTCGATGTTGTTGCTGAGTGCCGCTTGTGGGACTTGTACTTTCTTCTTTAGTCAGCTTGCAGAGGTGAGATGTTGAGGTATAGTTGGGAGTGAGCCCGGTGGGGCTCGCAACACCTCGTGATCTCCCTACAATTCATTTTCATATCATCAACGAGCTCCTCGCTGGAATTCGTCGCTATATGTTACGTTCTACCAAAAGTCACTCATTATACCGCATCTATCTACGTACCATTGCAAACAGCAACCATACAGCTGCATCTATCTATGCTAACCTGTGCCATTTTTTTTTTTTTTTGTTGTATTTTTTCTTTTTTGTGCAAATGGTTTTCGTGTTGGTACAAATTCTCCTAATTTGTGTAAACACGTGTCAACTTCCAGCTGCACACAGTAGTAGTCGTACAGGTGGCGCTGCGGAGAATGCCGAATGATCAACCCACCGAACCACCCCATGCCCAGCCGAACAAGCACTCCACGTTGCAAAAGCAATCTGTCAAGAGCAGCGGGGGTAGATTCTTGAAGGCGAAAGCCCGCCGGGACCTCCATTCCCTGCGTCTCGTCCTCCGGGTCGTCTGGGTCCATGCTGTCGTCCTCGTCCAAAAGAGCTAGAAACAGACTTGCGGGAAAAATGGGAACATACCCAAAAATGAGAATGGGCGTTTGTTTTTAGAAAGCAAACCACGCCTTTGCAACTCCCCCCATAAAAGTTGACAGCGCTGTAGGTCTTTACAGCAGCTTTCGAATGAGCTGTTGCTCAAGCTGTATGTCCTCGGCATCGCCGAGGTAGCCAGCATCGCGAGAAATCAGGTCGAAACCAGCACGAATCGCTTTTTGCGCCCGTGAGAAGGCGTGATGTGGAGCATGGCGGTTCTGATGAGCTCATCTCACAGCTGGGGCGAAGGGGTTTCGCAGGATAATTTTGGTTCTGTGATACACCCGATGGTTCTGAAGAAAAACGCCAATTCTCATTTTTGGGTACTAGCTCGTCGGCCTGGGAATGAGACATGTCTGCGACGAAGGGTACCGTGAAACCGAGAAGGAACGTACGGGTGTCATCGCCGTTACTCAACTGAAGTGAAGACACCATTTGTTCGTAGACGTGACGCGGAAACAGAATATCAGCAATATCCCAAACAGCACAAGAAAAGATGAACAAAAAGGACAATGAATTAACTGTAGTCTATGTAGTGCCAATCAAACTTACTGTCGTACCCTGATTGCTGTTGAGTTTTGCCATGGCCGCTCCCGTCCATTGAGTGATCAGTACGCGCCGGTCAGAAGCTGTCAGCGACGCGGTTTCCTACCCCTCGATGTTGTCCGACTGATCGAGCCACTTGTCCATCTCGTTACCTACTTCCACCTTGAGAAATCGTCCGGCTCCTGCATCAACTGGCTGCACCTCGTCCGTGCACTCCGCAGGGCCAAGCCAGGCGATAGTGTTGCACTGCTTCGCAAGATACCCCTTGAACTCGTCCGTGGTCTGCGCGTGCAAGTTGTCCATTATCAGAATGGACCTCGCCTTGGGGAGCTCACCCCGCCCGCGGATCAGGCCTTCGCGGTACGACCTCTTGGCCCACTCCATGCAGAACTTTTGGTGCGCCAACGCATTCTCCTGGAAAAACACGTCCACGTCCTTGTGATACGCGGCTTTCTCCACCGGCGAAATCCGCTTCCCCTGGCCTCGGAAAATCACCGAAATCCGCATAGTCTTCTCACCCGGACCAAAGATGACTTGCATGGTGCACTTCCTTTTCTCTAGGCCAGCAAAGGGCTGCGAGATGGCTACACGCAACGCGCCTGTCTTCTCCCACGTGCTGATCAGCCCGTTCACGAATGGCAAAGGCACTTGATCCACATTCCAACGCTCCCAGAGCTGGAACTGACCGTACTTGGGATCTCTGGACTCTCCCTCCGCGACCGTCGACATCGCCGACACGTCCGATGCCTCGGGTGCCCTGTACCGTACCGGCTCTTGCAGGAGCTTGCGAAACCGCCGGTGGAAGCGCTGGATCTTTGGTAGGCGCTCTTTAACAGACTTGCTCTTGAGGTTGCTCCTACACCGTTTGGACAGCTTATGCCTCTTTGCCCATTTTCGTGCCCACCTGAAGGACGCGCTGAACGCCGCCGCCCGTTGGTCCTCAGGGTGATTCTCTTGCACGAGCTTCCGGAACGTGACCGTCAGCCACAGGGTCGACACCTTCAGCTTCCTCCTCCGCCGCGCCAAGAACATATTGTACAGCTTCTTCTCTTCCTCAGGAAACCACCGCTTTGGCTGCTGTTTGGCAAGGAGGGTCTTCTTCACGTCATCTGCTGCCGATTGG